TTATAATTGTTGCTGTTCACATTTTAGTTAACACTGTAAGTGTTTGTTTCTTAGTTATTTGGTTTCTTAGATATGGTTATAAATATTTTGTTAAGTATTTGTTGAAACATATCTTATCTCAATTGCGGCATCTTATTTTGAAAAAAAAAATGTGATTTTAATTTAGATTATTTGTTAATATTTGTAGTTTTTTGTAATTAACAATTCATGAGCGCTTGTAAGTGAGCCTGTGCGAATTAAAAACTCAGTGAAAAGGATTGTATATTGGGTGACATATAATTTAAATCATATTATACATTGAATGAACAAAAATTTTGTTACGGATAACTCTTAAACCCCCTGTGAAATTGAGCAGTTTCCGTGCTCGAACTATTTTTTTTGCTTATTCATCAATTTCACATACGTCTGTATGTGACATTATTTACATACAGACTAAGCAAGAAAGGCATACTGAGCATTGTGTATACTTCTTGTTACGCCAAGTCAAAACCATTTTCAACTTAATATAAGAGCAGGCGCTCACATTAGCATTAGCATTCAACTTCATAGTTTTATATGCACGTATGCAGCAGTAAACTTTTACTGGCTGTAAAAAGAAAGAAAAAGCGACGTGTGCATGAATGCGTGTAAAGAATGTATATATATATATACATTAAAATTTCATCCAAATCGGTTCACAGTTCACGTGATGCGTTTACAGATTTTGGCGTGATGCGTGAGACGTCGTGTTATATTTTATGTTATATGTTATGTTATATTATTGTTATTATTATTACTAGACTGAAATGTCCCACTGCAGTGTAAAGGCCTTCTGACTCTCTTTCCTACTTGTCTCTCTCCAGAGCCACCATAGAAACAGCAACAGAAACAGAAACTTTTTTAATCAATATAGATTATAAATAATACTTTTGTATAATTACTACTGGTTCGAAAAAAAACCTCTGTCCTGGGAAGAACCAGCAAGAAACCAAGCGGAACTTTTTTTTGAAATAACAGCTTACAATCATGTATGTCACACAAATTAACAACACATCAAATTAGAAATAGCTTGGTAGCGATCACCTCATTTCCAGGGGTTATTATCATCCATAAATTCTTTAATATTTATAATAACGCTTTTTATACAAACTTAGTTTAATAACGTTTTTGAACTTTGAGCAGGTCAAATTTTGTATATTTTCTGGAATTTTGTTGTAAAAGCGTATACATCGCCCCAAGAATGAATTACTGACTCGATGGAGTCGAGTAACTGGTACTACTACCTTGTGTCTCTTCCTAGTATTTACATATGATATTATATTTTTATTATAGTATATATTATTATTATAGTATTTACATATTTACGTATTTACAATGCAAAGACTTGGCTATGGAGCACACTCTTGATGGAGTGACGACCTGGTAAGATTTGCAGGAAGTCGATGGATGCAGGTGGCTCGGGACCGTGCTTTGTGGCATTCTTTGGGGGAGGCTTATGTTCAGCAGTGGACTCTTGAAGGGCTGTAATGATGATGAATGATGAAATTCGACGCTATGATTATATGACCTTTCATGGTAAAGATCATATAACCTATGCCTGCTCTTATGGACTCCTACTGTCGCCCATTCATTAAATGACTTCCGACTATTCAAGGAGAATGTTTAAGAAGTAAAAATATTATTAAATTCAGTGCAAATAAGCTTAAATAATGTTCTATACAAAAAATTTGGATCATTTTGATATAAAAGTGATGGAAGTTTTTTCACTATGTTATTTCTAAATTTTTCCAAGCGACGTGCATTTACTGGAACAAACACAACTTTCTCATCTGTTTGCTTTTTGTGAACATAAGGTAACGAGACTACTTGACCACAGTAATCAGAACTTAATTTTTGAATTATACATTTATGCAACGGCTTCACATTTGTAAAAATTTTATCGATACATGTTGCACTAGATTGAGCAATACGCGTTGGCTCTAAAAATAAATTGAAAATACCATATTATGATTTAAACAATGATCTTAATTTAATATTGATTGAGGAAGCTTCTAGGAGATTGATATTAAAGTCTCCACATATTACAACAGATTTACTCTGTTTATTATGCTTAGTAAAAACTTCCTCCATAATTTTTTTTCAAAAGTATCGTATACCACAACAATGTGGTGCTCAAACTCAACACATGCCATTTCTACAGTTAGCTCAACAGAGAGGCTCACAATATATTTACGTTCTTAACATGACAATAATTTACTAGCTAAAATTAAGGAGCTACCTCTTAAAACCGTTTCTCTATTGAAAGAACTGACCACCTGGTGATTACTGAAGTTAAACATTAAGTTATAAGCTTTTAACCAATGTTCAGTAATACATAAAATATGAATATTGTTGCTATTTAAGGACAACTCAATTTCTAGCTCTTTGCCTATCATGCTTTGTATATTTTGACTCACCAGGTGTAAACAATTTTCATTATCACTCTGTGGAGTCATAGAATTAAAGATTTGTAAGCTACATTCTAAATTATTTAAATTATTACAACAACTAGAGATTACCTCTATTATCTCATTTTCTGATTTAAATTACTTGGAACTTATTCCAAATTACATGTTTAGTCATTATACTTCTCAAAAGAAGCAGATGTTTGTGTAGCCAAGTCCATAACTGAGTTAATATATTTTTTATTTTTTTATTTTATTTACCAATGTTTAGATTACACTGTATTTAACAAAATAGCTTAAGAACTAACTTATGTGACTAAGTGTAACAATCGTTTAAGGTAAACACCACAGGCATCGAGAAAGATTATAAATACGAATAAAAAGAAGTATGATTACCTAATAATGAAAATAAGTATATGGTAAAAAAAAACTAGAATTTATTTGTTGTTTTCAGACCAGGCTGAAGCTAGAACTTTCTTAATTTTGGCAAATGAGTCGGCGTGAATGTCAACTAAGTCACTATGTCCATTGACCAATTTGCACAACCTTGGAAGTGGGGAGTTTGCACCTAAGACAGATTTCCTAAAAGGAGGGCAAAGTGGAGTAATGGGAGCGCGAGGAATTCTCAATGGAACACGAAATTTAAATTTTTGGGGCAAGGGTGGACAGTTAGTTTTCTAGTTAAAAATTTTAACAAGAAATGACATGTCAAGCAAATGTCTCCGATTTTCCAGGGATAAAATTTTAAAGAATCTTAATCGTTTTTCGTAAGACCGAATTTTTTTGTGAATCCCATTACGATAGGCCAAATTAGCTACGAACTTTTTTTGTAGACCTTCCAATCGTAAGGAGTGTGTCGCGTAGTGTGGCCTCCATACTACACTGCAATACTCAATTATGCTTCGTACGAGACTGTTGTACAGTAGGATCTTAACGTGATTATTTTTAAACACTTTAGCGTTACGCAAAACAAAGCCTAGCATTATATACGCCCTTTTTGTAATATTCTCTATGTGGGGAACGAAGCTTAATTTTTTATCGAACACTATTCCCAGGTTTCTAACTTCCTCTGTTTTCTTAATAATGACGCCGTTAATTTTATATGATGAATTCAGTGACTTGATCTTTTTACTGAATTTCATATGGTAGCACTTGTTTGTGTTCAGGTTCATACCATTCTCTCGACACCAATTAACCATACGATCAACATCACTTTGAAACCGTTCGATGTCCTCCAGAGTTTCGCAGATGCCAACCAATTTCAAATCATCGGCATACATAAATGGTATAGAGTACTGAAAGCAACTAGGGATGTCATTGATGAAGGTATTGAAAAGCATAGGACCCAAATGTGATCCTTGAGGAACCCCTGACGTAATTTTGTATGGCGCAGACTTAAATCCATTAACGACCACGCTAAACCTACGATTATCCAGATACAATTCTAACCATCCCAATAATGAGCCAGTAATACCATATGCGCGCAATTTAGATATAAGAATATTATGAGGTACTTTGTCGAATGCTTTACTAAGGTCCGTATATATTACATCAACATCCCTACCGTCATCTACTGCTTCTACCAAAGTTTCAGTAAACAAAGTCAGATTGGTACAGGTTGACCTAAACCTAACGAAACCGTGCTGCCACTCAGTAAGATAATGATTCATATGTTTCTGCAGCACAGGATAGACAAGAGATTCAAAGATTTTACTTAAAGTTGACAGAATTGAAATAGGCCTATAATTACCAAAAACTTCAACTTTATCAGCCTTGTGAATGGGAACAACTTAAGCGGACTTCCAAACATCTGGAAATAGGCCGGATTGAAGAGACTTCTTAAAAATCAGATATATAGGCGTCACTAGCTCATCCGCACATGCTTCAATGAATAAAGAAGGGACACCATCTGGCCCTGAGCCCTTGTTATTGTCTAGGGACTTCATGCTATTCAGTATCTGATCCTTGTTAAGGTAGGGAGCAGTTAGTTCGATGCTGTAATTACAAATCAAATTCCATTGGTTGACATTCAACTCTGAGTTTATGTCATGTTGAGCATTATACACAGCACCAAAGTAGGATGCAAATAAGTCGCAGATTTCCCCAGGACTAGATGACTTCTTATTACCATCAGTCATTGTACAAGGATAATTACTTTTTCCGCCCTTCCTAGCCTTGATAAATGACCAAAAAACTTTAGGATTTGACTTAATGCTATTTTCTCTCTTCTTTATATAATTTTTATAAGTTTTATTTGCTAGTGTGCAGCAACGCTTACTAAGTAGCCGCAGCTCCACCTCGTCCATGGGATTCTTATATTTTTTATACCGCTTTCTTATGTTCTTCTTTTCACGTAACATTCTCTTTAATGAATCATTAAACCAAGGAGGAGAAGAATTATTTCTTATCTTTTTGTATGGCACATATTTATTTATTAAATTATTAATTATATCATAAAATAAGTTTGTCATTTCATTAACACTCATGTCATGAAAATTTTCATCCTAATCGCATTCGGCTAAACAAAGGCGGATCTGAGCATAATCGGCTTTCCTAAAATTGTGTATTTTAGTTTCGTTAGACGTTATACAGTAGTGCAATATCAGTATTTATTTTGATTAATATTTCGAGAGGGGGATGTAGAGGATCTACGACACTAAGAATATCAACTGATCCTGCTGCTGTACACATGGATGACGATAGGTTGGTCAGTACAAGATCTAACAAGCGGTCTGATTTGTTAAGAATGTTATTCATTTGATTAAGCTTGTTAAGATGAACTAAATCTATCAAGGCTTGGCTTGGACTAGGTGCAACATAGTTATTCGACAAATCATGTACCAAACTCCAATTTATATTACCTAAGTTAAAATCACCAATAAAGCACAGGCGTGAATCAAATTTTCTTGCTACAATTTTCTACAAAATACTCCAACATTAGCCTGTTCACCGGAGGTGGTAAGTAAAACACCGCAAAGAGTTATTTGATGGACAAAGTTTTCCATTTTCAAATCCAAAATCACCCAAATGTCTTCACATTTACTTTCCCATTCAAACTTTCGAACCGATTTGATAGTTTTAAGTACCGCAACTAAGACTCCTCCCCCATCCTTACTCTCATGAAACCCCGTACTTTCTCGGTCTCTTCTGTATATCACGTATCTGTCATCAAATAACTCATTGCTCATTATGCTACTATTAAGCCAGGTTTCAGTTAAAACTATTACATCATAATTATTACAATTGAGTTCCCTTAAAAAGTTGTGTGTTTTCGTACGCAACCCATGAACGTTTTGATAATATATTCTTAGCTCTTTTAAAATGGGTAACATTCAAACTTTTATTAAAAATACAGAAATTAAAGTTAGTTTTGGAACTAAGGCAACTTGTCTAGTGTCTCTGTGTTTCTATTGATTTTAAATTCGGAGTCTTCAGTCTTCCTCATGAAAATGCGACCACCTCTCACCCAGACATATTTATATCCTTTATCCTTTGCCGCCTGTCTTGCTGCTGCATGGAGGGCCTTGTTGTGGGTAGAGAGATGTTCACATATAAAAATGGGAGTTTTAGCACCAGAAACACCAGCATGAGAACTGTTTAATTTTTCTTGAGGCTTCAGTTTATTATATTTGATCGCTGCTGCCAGAAATTTGTCCCTCATACTCGGCGAGTTAAATTGCACTACAATAGATCTAGGGCGACTGGAGTCTTTATTTAGTTTAGCAATACGTGTGTAGTGGGCTAAGTGTTCCGTAGATACTTGACAATGTATTGTTTTGCCTAGTTCTGTAACGATGTGCAACAGGTTCTCATCTTTCCTCTCCGGCACACATTGGATCTCAATGTTATTCATTCTAGCGTTTTGTTCCATTTGATTAACTCGATTATACAAGTCATCAACCTTAGACTGCAGTGCACCGTTTTTTGTCTCTAGGCGTTTAATTTTTTCACTGGCCTCTGCATGCTCCTTTGTGATAGATTCATATTTCATATTCATGAAACTCATAGACTCCTTCATATCCACAATTTTCTCCTTCAAAGATTTTAGTTCAGAACCTAGGATGTCTGATATGGTGGTGTGCATTGTCTTTTGGAATTGAGTCACTACGTCCTTGATAATTTCTTGCATCTCATACCTTGTTATTGGTTTTTCATCTGAAGCATTTGGTGGGGAGTTTAAAGCTTGCCTCCTTCCCGGCCTTACAGTTATATTCGGGTTGTAACGAACCGGGGTGTTATCATTATTACCCATTTTTTGCGTTCCATGGCATTGAGGGCACAGCCAATTAGACGTGGAGGAATCGTCTTGATTGCTTGATAATGACAAACATTCAAGATGATAAAGTTTGGTGCATTCTGTACATTGCATATAGTTCTGGTCCTGCAGACCAATCGAGCAACATCCCCAAACAACGTTTTTGTGTCCTTTCGCTGCCATATTATTTTTCAATTTCAATTATTTCCAATAAAAAAGATAATAGAAAAGAAAAATAAGAAAAAGAAAATAAATATTCTTGTGATTCGATCTTAGGTCCTCCCGGAACAGAGCGTAAGAACTATCCACTACGCTGATAGTACATTAGTCGTAACGGTTGAAAATAGCATATAGTTTGGTACACACTCTGAGCGCGCGATCACACTAATGAGATCAAAGTCCAGTCTTTTGTGTTTCACTTTTAAAGTTATAATTCAAATGTCACAGTACCCTACACAAAATTCACTAAATCAATGTTTTCACTCCTTTTTATTTCAAATTTTATTGTTTAAATTACACTACACAAAGGCACTCAGTCTGCTGAACGTTTCATTATAAATTTCCAACAAAAAAGGTAACTTTTCTCACCACTTGGAATAAAAATCTAAGAGCGCCAAGTAACACGTCTTTCTCATGTTAACATACCGCGTAATGTCTAAATAATATATAAACTAATATATAAAGATAGCACATTTGCTATCTGTCTTAAAATATATTTAGATAGGTAATACATATCTCTAGTCAAAATTTTCTTAATTAAATTATTTATGTCTATTAAATTAAATTTATTATTATAATTATAACAATCAAATGTCAAGTTTAAATTATTCTTACATGAAAAGTTATTCATTAATAAATTTAAATCATATCTTATTTTATTTTCCTGCGGCCAACCCTGTACAATATCATCGGCGAAACGGAGATTGGATAACCTCACATGTCCAACTTGTATGCCCCTATCCACCCAGCTAGCTACCAGCGTTCTGAATACCTCTTCTAATACGGCCGTAAATAGTTTTGGAGATAGCGGGTCTCCTTGTTTCACACCTTTACTAATGCAAAAAGATGGGCCTGTCATAGAACTGATCTTAATTGACACTATACTATTCTTGTAGATATTTTGCAAGAGTTGGATATATGTGGTGTCTATATCATGATTTTTTAAAGCTTTGAAAATTACGTCGTGTCTGTTGCTATCAAAAGCTTTGGAATAGCATATGAAGGCTAGGTACAGTAAGAGGGATCTTTTTCGATCACTTCATTGATATTGTAGGTGGTCGGTAGAAGAGAAGCCACGGCGAATACTGGCCTGTTCGGGACGCTTTTGTTTTTCGAGTGACCCAGAAATTATGTTTTCGACTACTTTAATAAACGCTTTGTACTAGTGTGAGCCGTGGTAGCTCAGATGGTTAGCGCTCGATGTAACCTTCACAGTACTCGAGCAACCCGGGTTCGATCCCCGCCGGCACCAATGAAATTGTTAATTGCAATTTTAAGTGCCGATTTACCACATGCTCGTCGGTGAAGGAAAACATCGTGAGGAAACCTGCATGTCTGAGAAATAAAAAAAATATTTCGTTGACATGTGAAGTTCGCCAACACGTATTGGGGCAGCGCGGTGGACATTTCCTTGCCCTAAAACCCTCTCAGAAATGAGAGGAGGCCTGTGCCCAGCAGTGGGACGTAAATAGGCTGCAACTTTACTTTACTTTTACTAGTGTGATACCAGACTAATGGGGCGGTTATTGCCAATATCTGTTTTGTCACCCTGTTTATGAATAAGCATTGTTTGTGAGTGAAAAAATCTGCGAGATAACATACCAGTTCTTAAAATATTGTAAAACAGGTTGGTGATTTGTGGTAAAAGGAATGGCTCTCCTATTCTTAGGGCTTCGGTAGTAATACTAGAACTCTTGCTATATTTCATATTCATTAGTGCCTTATGCACTTCCAAATCGGTGAATGGTGATATGAAGTTGGTGCACGAATATTTACTGGCATTTGATGGGGAAGTTAAATCCCCGTTATCTAGCTTTTGGTAAAATTCCGTGCAAATTTCTAATATTTTCCCCTATCGGTGTGTTCCACACCTGTACGATCCCTTTAACAAGCAATTGTAGATTGTCTTTTGCTAGACATTTCCTGCTTAGCCGTTTTCAGCAAAGCATTTTGTTCTTTCTTTGTCTGGATGTGATAAGTGTTAACATTACTTATGTCTCTACGAATGCTTTGCTTAACTCGATGGTCCACATCGCTGTATTCTGGTGTGTATTTATTAAAAGTTTATCGCTCGTCAATTAAATGATTCGTTTCGTTTCGTCTTTGTTTAACTGTTTTTATTTTGTTACGAAATTTTGTTTGTAATTTTTCATTCTTGTGTATTGATATTCTACGTTGCCTTGATTTTTTTTATCTAATAAACTAAATTTATTTTTTAAATCTAGAAGAAATTGTTCCTGGTTAGCAATAACAGTAATTTTACTTAAATTTCTGATAGAACATTTGATAACTTGAGCACGGTGTATCTTTTGATTAAATTTAATTGTCGCACGTAAAAGTCTGTGGTGCAAACTAAACTTGAAATTATTAAGAATTTTAATATTGTTAATCAACTGTTTGTTAGAAGTATGGCAAAAACCTATTTCAATTTTAGAGATTTTTATCGGGATATAGCCACGACGACGAGGTTTTTTGTAAAAGTAGAGAAATATTGCTTAGACAAACGCGAATTGGAGAAGTCTTGTCCCACGTTTATTTCTTAAGCCGAGTCCTTAAGGTCCAAATATTTTACATGTTCGTTTCCAATAATCGACTTGCTTCTTTTACTCGCATACTTCCATCAACCAGAACCACAAGATGCGTCGAATCAGGCGCAGCACACCCGCAGATCTATCATAAGACACAATACCGCAAGTAGCAGTAAGTAAGTTGCATTGATAACTTTCATATGGATGGCGCTCCCTTACATACACCCATATGATCCCTATCGACTTTGTCAACGAAATTGGTAATATGTTCGTTATTAAAAATAGCACGCACCAACGTATCATAGTAGAACGCTACTAAGATGCCAGTTACTAAAAATCCATATATCATATAGCACTTTACTACTTACTTTACAAGTACTACTACACACTTTCATCCTAATCCGAAAGATAGCCGACGTATCAAAATTATAGTAATAATAAGGTATCATTTAAAATTACATATTTGTACAGCCCAATCAGATGATAAAACTATATAGGTACCCCACAATAATAATAAATTTATATATTGAATAACACCATGTTGACACTACAAAGTTGAAGCCTTTTTATAGGATAGGGTGACAAACGAGCACACATTCCACCTGGTTGTAAATGGTTGCTGTGGCCCATAGATATGTACATCTATCTTCGATTGCGAATCAAAATGCAGATGCATTATCACCTGAGAGGACTAAGATGGCAAGCCCCTTTTCCAGTAAAAATAACCCTCACATCCGAACTAGCAATAGCTGTGTGTCGGGATTCAGTTCCTTCCCATATCCACAAAGTTGCAATTACAATAGCCTTATCAGCTTAACACAAATCAGAACAAGGTAACAAAATAAATAAACTTCTTACAAATTACAGAAAAACAAAAAATAAAAATATGCATGCGTATGCTGTTGCATCTAAGATGCGTACATATTGTACTGTGTGTGTGTCTCTCTCTCTCTCTCTCTCTTTCTCTCTCTCTGTGTGTGTGTATGTGTGTGTGTGTGAGAGAGAGAGAGAGAGCGTGTCGTGAGTGTGTGTGTGTGTGTGGGGGGGGTGCTTGTGCGTGTGCGTGTGCGTGTGCGTGTGTGTGTGCATTTGCGTGTGCGTGGGCGTGTGCGCGTGCGTGTGCTTGTGCGTGTGCGTGTGCATGTGCGTGTGCTTATTCGTGTGCGTGTGCGTGTGCAAATGCTTATGTGTGTGCGAGTGCGTGACCGTGTGCGTTCGTGCGTGTGCGTGTGCATGAGCGTGTGCGTGCGTGAGTGCGTGCGTGCGTGCGTGTGTGCATGGATGCGTGCGTGCGTGCTTGCATGCATGCGTGAGTGCTTCTATGTGTGCGTGTTCATTTGTGTTTTTTTATGTGTGCGTGCTTGTACGTGTGCGTGCTTGTGTGGATCAGACAATGGTCCGAAGAGCCCAAAGGGGCATCAACGGAGACCTGATATCCGTCCGGATGAGAGGTCAGCAGAAGATCCAACAGGGAAAGTACATGATCCTCCACATCTAGGATCCGCGTAGGCGAAGTAACCAGTTGTGTTAGACCATAGGCCAAGACAAAGTCATAGGCAGATCTACTCGCATGATCGGTTAAATGAGAACCAAGGGATTCAGCTCAGTATCACGATCTCTGTGGATGGGACCTGTTGTAGCACGGAGTCTGTTACTACTGTTGTTAATGATGTTATTTTATGCCTTAAGCGCAAAGCGCGCGGATATGTTCTACTAGCGCGTAAAAATCAAGATTCCAACGTTTTGTCGCATGAAATCATATCTGACAATCATATTGAACATATTATAAATGATATAAAAGCACATTTTAGGAAAAATAAATGATTATTGAACTTACAATTTTTTTTTAATTCGATTAATTGCTATATTCATATAAAAAAGTGGTTTTAGTGGCTTATGGTTTAGACTTATCAAGTTCGCATGGAGATATAAGCACGATAACTTTTAAAAATATCAATTGTTTAACTCAATTTATTTTTTAATTTCTTTATCTCTCATGTGGGAAGCAATGGAATGTAAATGGCAGTTTAGTTTTGTTTTGTTATGTTATAATTAAATGAAACTTATTTTTACGGAATTTATCGCATTTAATTTAAATTTTTTGCTTTATAGCACCGATGGTCACGGGGGGGACTGAGGTGTTTGACGTCCTGATGTCAATGTTCTGATGAAAGTCCGTGGATTCCAAACTTGTCGACGCTGTTACCACAGGGGCACTGATGGGGTTAACAAATCGCCGCTCTTCCTACGTCGGTTTCCTATGGCAATGAGCAAATTTTCTCTATCAAGTAATGTGCCGAGATTACTTAATGGTAAAACGTGTAACCGGTGACAAGATTCCTTATTCGAAACAGTTAGAAGGCGTGCCTAATCTTGGTCTTTCCGCACGCTCTGTACCAACGGAATATCCCACTGTTTTTGTTGGTTAACTTCCAG